CCCCAAAACCCCAAAACCCCAAAACCCCAATATTAAAAAAAGTATGATTTTAAAGGTAAGGTTTCAAATAATATTGCTGAAAAATCAAAGAATAATTATATATAATAAAGTATAAATGAAGCTTTTCGTAGTTTTAATCGCTTTTCTGTGTCATTTAAAAATAATTGAAGGTCAGTAGAAATGCTTTGATTGGAAATTTCCTTGAGGTTTCGGGGATTCAACTGGAAGCACATTTGCAGATGTAATAGACATTGATGGAAATCTAAACATCATTAGTGGTGGTGAAACAAGAGTGACAACTCATGGATTATCTCAAGCATCTGGATATTATACTTATTTTCAGTATGTTAGTTACAACGGTCAATCAGATTGGGTTAGAATTTATAATCAAGTTGCTTTTACTGAAGTGTTAAATTTAGTTTTCTAAAATGGCGTGACCCAAGCATCAAGAGCAGCTGCATTAATCAGCAATCCTACGTCTCTGATATTACATATTATTTTAATATCTACAACAGATGGATCCTTGATTAATGCCTTTTATGATGATTCTGTTGCTGGTGGTGCTTACTGGTCATATACTTATTTAAACTCTGTAATTTTGGACGCATCAAACAATCTTTATTTTGGTGGATATACTGGAACTGGGCGTACAATGATTGCTAAATTCGATTTAACTTCAACAACTAGTCCAAATGTTGCAAAGTGGAAATTCGATCATAAGGGTGCTTTCACATGGGCTGATTCCGGTTAAGTTGGTGCTATTTATTTAGAACCAACTAACACATATCTATATTCTTCTGTCAGATATTATAAGACTTATACCAATCCTACTCGAAATGAGTATTTTCCAACAGTGTAGAGAATGTCAACTATCACCGGCACTCTTCAATATGCTTACTCCATTAACATTACTCGGGTTCAAACAATCGATATTTAAGTTCAGAGATCAATAGCGGTATAAAGATCTGGTACTTAAGACAATATTTTTGGTTGCTAGCCCATTGTTTACACTAAGGTCACTCCAAATGAAATCAGATTTACATTTTATCGCCTAGTAGTAAATGCTGACTATACAATCGCTTCATAGGTTTTCGTGGAAATCCTTGAATAACCTAGATGTAAACTTCTTTTTATTCATTCATTTAATTATAGGTCTGGATTTGAGAGTACAATCAGTAACATCTTTCTATGTATTGGCCTTAGAGTTTACACCTTTGTATAAAAACCACTTGATTAGAATTTATGACATAACCTCAGCTGGAGCATCAATGACAAGATAAGAATTTACATATACCTCTAACTACAGAATCTATGATGGTGTAATCTTGCCAGACTATACAGTTTACTATAATGGAGCTACTCTTTATACTAAACTCTCAGGCACTAGATACTTCACCTATATAATGTCATCTGATATATCTCAATCGTGTTCTACTTTTAATATGCAGCCTATCATTACTTCTGGAACTTTGACAGCTATCAATGATCTTTCCTATGTTAATCTAGGAGTTAGTTTAATATCAACAAC